TCCTCTAACCAAGGAAGATGGAACACTAGCCACAACTGCCTAGGAGAAAGCCAACATTTTTGCGCATTTATTCATTGGGAATTCCACTCTGGATTCATCGGGAAAACAATAACCTCCAAACATAACGCCAATTGCCAGTCATACGCCCCATATCACTTTTCGCCAACGTACTATTAGGAAGATTTTATTGGGTCTCAACACAAACAAAGCTTGTGGCTCCGACGGAATCCCACCGATTGTTCTCAAGAAATGTGCTCCCAAACTAACACCTGTTATCTGCAAGTTGTTCAACTACTCTTTCAAATTGGGGATATTTCCGCCCAACAGGAAAATTGCAAGAGTACAACCAGTTCCTAAAAAAGGCAAAAAGACCCTACCTAGCAACTACAGACCGATCGCACTGCTATCTATCATTTCAAAGATCTTGGAAAAAGCTATCAACATCGAGCTCATGAAATACCTGGAACAGTCAGGTATTATCAACGATAGGCAATATGGCTTCTGTCATTAGAGATCAACTGGTGACCTGCTCGCTCACGTCTCACATATATGGCAGCAATCTATTGAAAAATATGGTGAAACCTTAGCCGTGGCACTTGATATATCCATAGCATTCGATCGTGTCTGGCACCAGGGACTCCTCGCCAAGCTACCATCTTATGGCTTGCCTCCCCAGCTACGTTCTCTGCTAGCTAGTTTTCTCTCGAACAGGTCTCTCCATGTAGTGGTCGACGGAGTATCATCTGACTCTCTTGGCATGAATGCTGGTGTTCCGCAAGGATCAATTCTAGCACCAACACTCGTACTACTCCATATCAACGATTTGTTTGAAGCAACTCCATATCCAGTACACAGCTTCGCAGATGATAGTACCCTCCATACCGCCTTCTCTTCCAGGGCTCCAATACCAGCCAGGCAAATCAGAAAAGAACGCGGGAGAAATGCTGACAACATAAATATGGACTTGGCAACAGTTCTCGAATGAGGATCCAATGATTTGGTAGATTTCAATTGCGAAAAGTGAATCCCAAAAACTTTGTTTTCTGTTTCGGGCCAGGAGCTATTTCACTCCCAGTCAGCTGCTTATGATCTATAAGGCACAGATCCGACCTCTCCTGAAATACTGTTCCCATATTTGGAGTGCAGCCACCAAACATACCCTGAAACTGTTGGATTCTGTCCAAAAGAGGGCAATTCGTTGGTGGGTGATGCCTTGCTCACAAACTCACTCAATTCTCTAGAACACCGTAGAAAAGTTGGTGATCTGGCTCTATTTAATAGATATTTTCATGGACGATGCTCTTCTGAAATATAAACAATTATTGTTCCTCCCTTGGCAGTCCTGCGAAATTAACCCGTTGAGTTGAGGCTCCGCACCCCTTCGTGGTCACTTAGGAGACCTGCAGAACATCTCTTTCCAAAGACTCGTTCATCCAGGAGGTGTTCCCCGATGCATATAACTTCCAGAAATTCAAGAAGAACACCAATTTTATTTCCCTTGGTCTGAACATTACAGGATATCCCCTTTCGTGGGAACGAGAACATAAAAAAAAATTCAGTGACTCTAGTATCCACCAACCTTGAAAACATTGAAATATCGTTTGCTTTCACCCCCTGTAACAGTCATAAACCCATCTAGTATGATTACCATAGCGACTCTCTGCGAGCCATTGAACCATAAACTCCACTCCCTCGATAAATGATGACTGGGAAAGCATCGGACGTTTATGTCACACTTTATGCATTCCTCAATTAATACTCTTTCATTATCGCACACATGAAATGCCATTTCATGGTTTGCACTTTATTGGCTAATTGTTTGACACGCCAAAGGAAATTACGCCGAATTGAACTGGTGTTCAAACGATTTCAATGGCTTTTTGTGCATGTGGGCGCATTTGTTCTAGTGGCGATGAAATTGTTTGATAGATTTTCAGGGGTGTCCCAACTCGACTGGAATGTCGCATGCATTTTTTGAACACAAGTGAATGAGTAGAAAACTCATGCGCTAAGTTTAGCTTACGAGTTCGCGAAGGATTGATAAAATTGGGCATATTATATTTGTCAGTCACATGGTATAATCAGCGTACTCAAAATAAATAATACAATGGGCTTATACCAGAAAAAAAATCATTTCATAATTCGATAGAACTCACCCAAACTATATAGCTCACCACCGCAAACCGTTTCTTGCTGTGAGCTTCCTACGTTTTATAAAAAATTATTGAAATCCCCGATTTTTCGGACCTCTGAAACCGAGGCGATGATGTGACGTCAAAACCCTAGAACTGGAACAAGACTATTCCAGACAGAGATGAATGATACATGATTTCTGACAGAGTGAATTAGCGCGAGATCACAGTTGAAAGAATTAATATATCAGCTGCCTCAGTCTCCGTCGGGCGTTTGGTATTTTCTTTCAACTATGGCGAGATGAGGTTTCTACGTCATAAGAGGGCCCGTTTTCAGAAAGTACTATTATTCATGTCAAAAAATGAAACATTCCAGTTAATTTTTCGATCGAATTATGTCATCAATCATCATTTATGTATAAAAGGATCATTATACATGCACATGGTTTGAGTTCAAAGTTCTACTAAGGTGTACACGCTCGTTATTTACATACCCCATATGTCATGACATCATTACTGACGTTTAAGAAGTTTGAAACTGACGTATTCAATTCCCACCCACGGATGGCAAATTTTTTACCCTTGTGAACGAGGTTTTCCGGTGCAGCTTTTGTGACCCCTATTTTAGCGCACCAATCTTTGTATTATATTATATCCGAAATTTTATACACAATTTAAATCACACCGTCCAGACCCTGACAAGTTTGAAAGTGTTATTGAACGAAATGGAAAGGGCAGAAAAAATTTTCGCCTACTTACTTTTTTTTATCGATTGGAGCGCACGAAAGGGAATCTCTATTGAGAATAGCTATTTATATATCAAGGGAAGAAATTTATCCATTTGAACAAAAGTCAATATAACACTTCTGTCATCATGAATTAATTGATTTGTATATTTTGTGACTGCATTTGACAGTTTTGATATGAACCACGTTCGGAATATGAAGAAGCATATGATATCATTGGAATTCAAAATAGTAGATTGTTTTATTAGGATCAAAAGTGACACTTTGTTTGACAAGCGAATTTTGCATTTGCGAGGCGGAGCGTTTAGCGAAGCCGAGCGAAAGCAAAATTTGCGAGTCGAACAAAGTCACTTTTGATCCGAATGAAACATGCTATTTTTTCTGCAACCGAAACAATTAACTCAAATGAACATGTGAAGTAACCACCAATGCCGTGCCATATGTATGCAATGCAACAAATATTGACAAATAATCCATGTAGTGAGAATATTCTACCTGCATTAACAGCAGGTTAGGTTTTCTAGGATGTTCGAATTTTAGTTTCAATATAAATACAACCACAGAGTGACATATTTGTGTATGGACCAGGTGCTCTAATGGCAAATACCGCGCCAGTGCCAGCTATAGGAACAGGACGTGGAAAATGTTAGGTTAGTGAACATATCAACAATGATAATAGTGATTATTTATTCCTCTCCATACTACACTGTGTTTGACTTAATAATCAAATGAAGGTAAACAACATCGTTGTTTGAGACAAAAAACCAATTGCTTGCCGTGATTATTCAAAAACAAGTTATCCATCCCGAGAATAACGAATGAAATACAGATCAAGCAAGTATTTGAATATTGAAGGCTTCCCTGATCAAAACAAAAATACTTAACTGAGATGTTTATAATTAATTCCAATACCAAACTTTTATAATAAGGTGTATTTATATCTCCAGTATGGCTATGGAATGCCAAATCTGCTGAAATCGGAAACAAATCAGGTATGCGTCTCAACCCAAATAACCAACCGTCACAATGTTGTTCATTCTCGATGACGTCCAGTACATCCTTTTTAGTTCCTAGGAGCTAAAGTTCAACTTTAGATCCTAGGAACTAAAATTCAACTTTAGCTCCTAGGAACTAAATATGTTGCCTAGCAACATACCTATTTTTGTGTCAGTAATAGAAACGTCAATTTAAGAGCTAATTTTGGTATCAAAATGGACGACTTTTGTGTCGGTTGCAGAAAAAGGATATTATTGTTATTTGTTTTATAATGGTGATAAAGATACTGATGATTACTTGCATGGATTGCAAAGATTTTATATATTATATCGACGCCAAAGGATGCATGCTGAAGCCAATTTATTCTACCTCTATATATTATATCTATTTTCGATTCAGTTAGTAGATCTAATAAGTTATTTGTTGTTAGTTGTCGTCAACATAGAAGTTACTTTTCTATGGTTGTCTTTGTAATTATATTGTTGACGTTTATTAAGGAAAAATAATAGTACATTATACATCGAGGGACAGAAATGCAAGATTTTTTCCAAGGTCGAAGGCGAAGCCCGAGAGATACAAAGCAGCAAATATAGCATTCTGTCCTGAGGTAAATATACTATTTTTTACGCTGGTGATAACACAAAAATTCAGAAAGAACAAAAATTTGTTCAATGTGTTTTGTTTTTATCAGTAGTAGTACCTATAGTTTGTGGAATTCGTATCTTGACAGCATGCATGTTGTTGATAACCCATGGTGACAGCAAATATCAATCTGAAATTCATGAAAACAGCTTCGAAAATGATTAACAATTATGGAACAAGAAGTCGAGGGAAAACCCCAAGAAACTATTGATACTGCTTCTGCAGTGATTCTCAATTTGCTACCAGTGGGATCTAGAAATCTCAATGATGCAGCTTATACTCGCTTCAGAGAAGGGTGTTCCGAAAAGGAAGCGCAGAGCTATGCGGAATATGTAAAGTTGGTATAAACTCCCTAGGGAGAAAATATGTCACATTATCTCCCTAGAGAATAATACGATTTCGTTGGGACTTGCGTCTCACTCTTATCTTGTCGTCAATTCCTCTCTCTCTCTCTCTCTCTCTCTCTCTCTCTCTAGGAACTGTCAAAGAGTTTGATTTCATTAAATCATTGGTTCTACGCTTTTACTTTTACTTAATAACCTTCTAATAATGCATCGGATTGCTTTAATTTATTGTTGAAACTCTTCACTCCTGTTTCGTGTTCACATCATCAACGTTATACAGCATATGTTCGAAATCTTCGTCATTCAATATTGTATATTTTATATTGTAATTTCCGAGAGCTTCTTTGATCAGATAGTCGAATATTTTTGGGATAACTGGTTTCATAGGTGTAATGTCGGCCAAGGTAGCTAGGTCTGCGAAAAACTGATTAAACTTTTTTCCGACTTTCATGTGCGGTTGTTGTCCAGATTGTTCACAGTCTTCCATGTATTCTTCAACATCTTGTCTCATTTCGTCTTTAGTAACTGTAATATTTCCTCTTAGAAATGCCAGGTAGAATCGTGCCTTAAAAATTATGATAAGTCATTAGGAAATATCAGTGAGTGAAACAAAAGAATACTCAAATATTGATTGTAACACTATTTTTTGTATTCTAATGTGTATCTATCGAGTTATCCGGAAAATGTATTGTCTAATTCTCACTCTTTAGCGAAGGATGGGGTTGCTTGCGATATACAGGGTGTATCTAAATAACAGCGGGGGTGATTCCCTGTGATATTTAAGGAAATAAAGTTCATATGAACATGTGTCCTAGCTTGCTTCGTTTTCGAGATACAGGGTATTAATATTTCCATGAAAAATTGTTTTTTTCATTCATTACTCAATTGCCTTTTCATCAATTTCTATAAAACGTTGTGGTTTTGTTGATAGTGATATGGAGCTTCTTCTGGCACAATTAGATTCGAAATAATATCTCCAGTGGCGTCACAGTGGCTAAATTAATCGATATTTATGGTGAATGTCATTGTACGCCATCGGTTTTTCTGAGTTTCATATTTTTATCAGATTGTGTGTATTCAGATCTATGATTGAACTAATGAAATAACAACTTTTTTATCTTCTCTGTGATTTTTGTATCTAGCTTAGTTTTTGAGGACACAATAAAATTTCGATTTGACTCCAAATTTAATGAAGGTGTTTTCAAGACTTCCATTGAGATTACTCAATAACCCCAATAGGCTTATATCACAAAAAAAATTTATTTCATAATTCGATAGAACTCACCCAAACTAGCTCACCTTCGCAAACCGTTTCTTGCTGTGAGCTCCCTACGTTTTATAAAAAATTATTGAAATCCCCGATTTTTCGGACCTCTGAAAACAAGGCGATGATGTGACGTCAAAACCCTAATACTGAAATAAGACTATTCCAGACAGATATGAATGATACATGATTTCTGACAGAGTGAATTAGCGCGAGATCACAGTTGAAAGAATTAATATATCAGTTGCCCCAGTATCCGTCGGGCGTTTGGTATTTTCGTTTAACTATGGTGAGATGAGGTTTCTACGTCATAAGAGGGTCCGTTTTCAGGAGGTACTATTATTTATGTCCAAAAATAAAACATTTCAGTTAATTTTTCGATCGAATTATGTCGTCAATCATTATTTATGTATAAAAGGATCATTATAAAAATGGTTTGAATTGAAAGTTCTACTAAGGTGTACACGCCCATTACAATCATTTTGAAGTTTTGGGGCTTTCTCGGTCTTCAACCATACTGAATTTCGGCACCATGGAAGCTATTACAGGGGGGTTAGAAATAAAAACTAATAATACTTCCAACTTCAACATCCTGTATCTCAAAAACGGAGCAAGTTAGGACACATGTTTATATGAAGTTTATTTGATAGAATATCACAAGGAATCACACCTTGAATTTTTTAGCGTTATTTAGATACACCCTGTGTATGAATCGTATTTCGAATTGTTATCGAGTGATCGAGCAGCCATATTATTTGTGATAGAGGTAGCCGTTCGTTGGGTAGATATTATGTGAAGAAAAATGCCGTGAGTGTCATACTTTTTGGTTTATCTCGATCAGTTTGAAGCTATTGATCTGCTACTGTACTTATTTCAAATAAATCAATTTAATTTGAAAAAGAATTAGATGTAATTCAAAATTACCAATTCAATTTCAAAATGCGCCAATTTCAGTTCAACAAATCTGCATATCCAAATGATGAAGGAACTTATCTAGCTTGTCCCTTTGATGAAAATATTCATCCCTATCAATCATTTACTTCGTTATTCTCGATACTAGTGATGAACGACTCATTTCCCGATTTTTATTAATTTATTGCTCTGAAGGTTTTCTATACCTGTAAACAGAACATTGGAAACAATGGGATATTCTTTGGCATACCAACGAATGCCATTGATGGATGTTCAACATTAATAGTATGTTTGTAGAGGTATTTGACGTAATGATCGTCAACTTCAAGGCCACATTGTGGAGTCAAAAATGGCAACGAAATTCTGTAACCTGGAAAAAAATATTAAATAATTCAATCAAAATTGTCCGCATAGGAGCATTATATGTGTATCTACCTGTGCATAAAATAATGTCATCAATTTCTTCTTCAGATCCATCAATGAATTTCACATAGTGCTCAAAAATTTCATCGATTTCGGGCTTAATAATAATGTCGTCTGGTATCTTCAGTTTGAACTCACTCAATTGTTTTGAAGTTCTTTGACACTGAATCACCTGAAATAGGTATGTATAATATACAAGGTGTCCCAGGGATCGAAAGAAGTAGGGGAAAGGGGGTAATTTCCAATCTATTATATATGGTTATCCAATTGTTGAAGGTTCGAAAGTTATTGATATTTTCTATAATAAAAATTAATTACAATAGATAAAATACTATGTTCACATTTGAGATTTTTGCTTTTATAAATTTCATCCGCATGGATGTACCATTCCCCAAAAATGATTTTTGTGACCTGTGTTTTACTTCCAACCAATTAAAAAAATGTTGTTTCCTTTGAGTTTTGTTGAATGAAATATGTAATTCAGTTGATTTTTTGAAGCCGCTGGCAGATTAAAAAAACTGCCCCACAAAAATAATCAACTGTAAGGAGAAATTGCCATTTAATACAGATTCCGAAATAGTATAACATACGGGGCTATTCAAAACAGCATTTTTTTAATTACTTTTTTTTAAATGGGTCGTGTTTTTCGAAATAATTGAATATCTTTCGAACCATCAACAATTTCCAAAGTTATCGTATACAGGCAATATCTCGCTTATTTGACAAGATAATTGAAAAATTCAGAAACTGCATTGAATGGCATTGGAGTACTACCTAATGACATATAAATTTTTTTTGAAATTTTATAGTTCTCTGGTAGCTATTTTTACTTTTTATCTTCAAATGGCACCTCTGTATATTGTCATTGAAAATTTCTTGTCATCCTATAAGAAATACTACGATAGAATATGCGTGGTATTTATTTATTATCATAACAAAAACTGCAACATTCGATGAAGTATGAATTTCAACTAAAATATCTTTCATGCGAATCAAAAAATGAACTGAAAATCACAGCGAGTGTTCAAAATTATTTTGACATGGAGCATCGGCTCTTTGAAACAGAAAACATGAGTGGAGGAATTTTTTTGTTTCCATAAGGATAATTAAGTTACTTGAAACAACTCACAAAATGTTGATATTTTTGTTGTTATCAATAAAAAATAACAAGTATAGGCTCTAGTTGTATTCCAATTTAAATGACACGTAATTTCCACTGACAATATACAGGGGGTGCCATTTCAAAATAAAAAGTGGGAGGTAGCTGCCAGAGAACAGTCAGAGTTTTTTATGTCATTTCATGCAGTTTTTGAATTTTTTTCGATTAGCGAAATATTGCCTTTATACGATAACTTGGGACACCCGGTATACGGTTAGTTTGATTGCGAATAATCCCCTCTGCCACTCCACTCCTTTTGATCTATGACTCATAGGACACCCTGTTCATATATTTCTCATAAAATAAAATATCCAGAATTCAGGATTTTAATTCGAGAAAATCATTAAAGAAATCACAATTCAGCAAGTGGAAACAATAGAATTGAGAAATACCTATATATATAGTATTTGAATATGTTTTATTATTATGATCATCATTCAGGTTGATGATATTTAATTCCACTTCACAGACTTGTTTTATGATAAATGCAGATTCGTATATTTACCTTCTTTGATACTTCGAAGACCTTTGCAGCAATATCTAATCCAGAAGGCCCGTTTCCTACTATTAATACTCTTTTATTCTTGTATGGATTCAGATTTCTAAAGTCGTGACTATGTATTATGCTTCCATTGAATTTATTTTTACCAGGTAGTTTTGGAACTATTGGATCTGAATAGTTGCCAACACAAATCATGATACTGTCGAATTCTTTCTTTTCCACCATGTTCGTTTTGAGATTTTTTACTTGTACCGACCATATCCCCCCAGGTCCTGGACTGACAACCTCCAAATGATGATATAGCTACGATATCAAACCATCTAATGCCGGAATTATCAATCATTATTTCATATTTAGCATCACCTTGATATGTGTTGATAGTTTGAAGAATTTTGCATAATCTTCGATATATTCAAGAACTTCTGGGTGGGTGATATAAGAGTGAGTTAGCTCTTTTTTATAAGGAAAGTCTTCGAACATCATGAGTTCCTTTGGTAGGTTGGTCCTGGAATATAAGATGTTGTTTTGCATCGAAGTTTAGGTACCTTTTGGCTCATGGGTTCTCTAGATAGGTTAATAGTTCGTTTTTAATCAACCTATAATAATAAACAAATATGCAGCAGAAAAGAGGTGAATTTTCCAAAAATTCTGGACAGATTGCAAAGAAAACCAAATTCCACCCCCACCCTAGCGGTTATTCAAGAAAAAAATATATTTCTGTCAATGTTGTTTCTTTTTTGGTGTAGCAGTATTGAAAGCCAATGCTTCAAAAGGTATAATGGCATAGGTGGCTAGAAATTTTACCCACTTGTAACAAAAATCCTGACCTAATTTATGCTGGAAAGATGTCGGAGTAGCCTCAGTTTAGGTACTAATTCGAAATGAATTTCCACAAGTATGAACCAGATTAGAATCCATAGGAGTATCGATGGATTTGAAAGAAGCTGCATATTAGAAAATATGAAAAATATCAAAATATCAGATTTATCAAAGTCAAGGAGATGTCGTCACACCCCGAAAGTGGCATAGTGCCACTTTGGAAGTCAGCAACCGATGAATGAGTGATTTGTATTGATTTCAATATAATAATTGGTAGTGATTGATCGAATAACGATTGAACTGATAATGCCCATGCATTATCGATTCGGGTTCTATCTATATTTGGAATCGATGTTAGATTCGCAAATTTCTGCAACGAGAATGGCCATTTCCTTTCGATATTGCTTACCTAGATGATATCGCACGGTAAGCGGTTTTGCAAATTCTACAGGAACTGAAGTCTATGAACTTCGCTGACCTGATCGAAACCACAAACATTTTTGTGATTCTAAGATCACAGTCTCAACGAAATAGTCAAATTACTATGCCACTCACCTGAGATCTTCATACATAGATGTATGAATGGGCAATCCGAATTCATCGAGACCCACTTTATCGACATACTTCCATACCCCTCCAATATAACCAGTTTGTTCGAAAAGCTCACAGTCATGACCTTCCTCTAAACTGTGCTTCAATGCTGCTAAACCTGCTGCACCCGCACCAATGATACCAATTTTCATTTTGCACAAATTACTAAATTACCACAGTATCATGAAAACTGCCTATAGGTATAGCATGATTTCGTCCAGCTTGTATATTATATAATATATAGATATCTTATTTATTCGAGCGTTCTTGCCGTATTGTACAGTGTCTTTATTAATATTTATATAAACTGATAAGCGATAATTTCGTGACGTCCATGGATAATTCTAATTTGGTTGTTACATCAGTATCAGCTGATTTTTCATTCGTATTGATGCATTGACATTTGAATACTGTTCATCTATTACATACTCAACACTAAACACATATGGCAAACTTTTCACAATAACATGATATCGATTAGTATATTAGCTTCTATCATACCATACCTGATGTAGGCTATTTGAAGCTTGCAAAAATGCGCCCAAAGGTGCCTGAGCAATGATCTGACAGCTAAGCCGCACTAAAAGTCCCAAAATAATTTGTTTTACCTCAAAGATTACACGGGGCTGCTTTTGAACACTACTGCAACTGGAAAAAGACAACAAAGTCACACTTATGTGGGTTCCAGGGCATGAAGGAATCAATGTATTATGTATGTATATTATGTAAGAAAGGTGCAGAATCTGCACTCTTTGGTATTGAGCCTTTCTATGGGACAAGCAGATGTCACCTGATGGCAGAACTCAGGAAATGGAAAGAAATTGAAGACTCCTCCTACTGGAGAGCAACTCCAGGTCAACGACAAGCGAAAAGGTTCATCAACCATTCGCAGAACCGAGCCAAAGAGCTACTCAGCCTCAGAAAAACAGAGCTAATGCTTATCCCAGGCTCTCCTCAGGACCCTGCCTTCTGAGGTACCACCTCAAAAGGATGGGTAAGCAAAGGCTGTCGCTTGCCGTTTTTGCAACAGTGGCTCAATCACCTAGAACAGGTCTATCTGACGCCTGTTGAGGTGGAGAATTCAACCGTCAAAAATATTCTATGCTTCATTAGAAAGTCTTGTATAACAGGAATAAAAGTAAATAAGGGTAATCACAATAGATCTTCTAGGTGGCATTGATCGAGAGGTCTCCAATCTATCATACGACCAACCTACAATCTACAATCTACAATCTACACATACCTGAAAATGATCTCTGGTAGAAGTCCATCGTTTCTCAAAATGGAGTACAGTGGTTAATACTGAATAATACACAAAGTCATCTCCACGAAAATTTATTGTGAAAACTCACGGGTTCATTGTGAATAATCACATCGAGGAAATATGTTCTCGGACATACGTATGTCCATCATCAGCCTAATAAGAAATTACATAGTCCTACAATGAGAAAAAATGATTAAGTAACACGAGGAATCCTTACCATAGTTAGCTTACATGAAGGTGAATCAATTTTTCTAATAACCATAGAGAGATAAATGGTTAGTTGTTTTCTAGGGGGATAACCATGAAAACTTCCATAGATGAGCATTATGGTGGATGATAAAAAACTGAAGAGCCTCCTAACATTTGGGACACTTCCATGAAGTTGACGGCACAATGAAGATGGTCATTTTTCATTGTGCCGGCAACTTGCTCATTCACAGGTCTGATGATAAAAATACGTATCCAAGGTATTTTTGAATATACCTACAGAGTGGAAATCCATGATGGAATAAGATCCGTATCTCCATAACAGGAATATAGTTCTGAAAAATCCTTGAACAAGTTGATTTTCATTTGTGGAAACAAATTTCCTCTCGTTAATCAACCACCTGTCAACCTTCTCTTCAGATTGCTCGGTGAGAAATGGGAGAGGCTGATTGTTTGACTGGCGTAATTGCAAATATACGCTATAGCTGGTAACTATCCTACACTGATGAGGGCCAAAATCTTGATACCGGTCTGTAGGTGTCAAACGTTAACTTGGGTAAATCTAAAATCAATCGGCATTGAGGAAAGAAACACTCGCATCATCAGTATTCGTTTATATGAATCCATGCATAGATTCTGGGAGGATGTAATTCATTGTTCTGCGGTGACATTAACCAGAAAAGTAGTTGTTTTTCTTCCGTCATCTACCACTGTTGTTCGTTTTATGAACATTTGTGGAAATAACTTTGAGTTTCAGTATTTATTAAACATTGCATTCCATTTTGAGCTTTTTGGCTATTTTGTAGTTGAAGGGAAGGGGATAACTACCCCCGTCAGCCCCACCCTTGCATAGATTACTTCTAATTATTTCGTTGGTATATTTCATTGAGTAGATAAATCACCCTATCAAAAGTTTTCTCCGAGCTCTATCATCAGAAGAAATCGAGTGGACCCTATACTTTAGTTAACTGGCCTAGAACATCTATCCATCTAGCCTTGTTTAGTGTTTTTTTTCACTCTTCCACAAAACATCTCCATTGAATGAGGACAGGACGAAATTCTTACAGTCTACTCCACCAAAACTATACTTTATTGTAATCAAATTACCTGACATGTTTCGAAACTTCGAAGCTTCATCGAAGCTTCTAAACATGTCCCGTAATTTGATTACAATATAGTTTTGGTGGAGTAGACTGTAATAATTTCGTCCTGTCCTATTGTCATACTCCACTGTAAGATGTATCGCCTAAGATTGTACCATTGATTGAGATTATATCACCAGTATTGTGCGTCACTACCCTTAAGAATTGACCCAAATCTATCCTTATCGTGGGAGAAAAATAAATTGTATACATCAGGGCTCAGACGTCTCTATTTCTACTGGCGCCAAGGCAAACTCTCGAAAAATCGATAGACTAGCCTCAGGGCTCCGATATTGTTCCATTATGCATTGAAACTAGACTCTTTGTTTCGATCCTATTGGATTGGAAATGCAAAGCTGTGTCTTTTATACAAGGTATTTGATTTAGGTGGACCGATGCCAAGAAAATAAATTTACGTAACTAACGCATAAACGTTATATTATTTAGTTGATTAGTTACGTAACAAAAGAAGTAATAAGTAGGTTCCAAATTCATGAGTTAACTGTGCAGAATATCCGCATCACGTACATCATATTATATTATGTTACATCATTTCTATGTAATACTAGTTATATTATTGTTACATCGATGAGTAGTCAATGTGACGTCAGAATCTAGATAACATTAACGTCTCACTTATATGATTGCAATAGAACTATTATACTTCTGTGAATATAAATAGGAGATAATAACAATTAATTCTTCATTGAACAGAAAATACATCATAAAAAGTGAAAATTCACCAAACTACAGTATGATGTTCTTTGAGGTTGAGTCTGACACTTTTATTTTTTCTCTTTGGCCATACAATTATAAAACTTGAACTCCAAATGCGTTTGGGTCAATTGCTGCCTAAAGCATCTCTAAAATGTATCTTCATATCACACTGTTGCCTATGGATTTCATATTGGTGATCTAAAACAATGACGATACCTATTAAAATAATTAGGTACCTCAAATTGCTGATGAATGTAAACGACCATCATCTATTCTGTTATATGTAGGAAAACATGCATTGAAAAGATTAGTCAACTCACCAGAATGAAGTATTCCACGTTCCAATCAAATTTCTGAAACTTAGATAGCTCAATTCTCAAGGCACTAGCCCAACTAGCTGGTCAAAGAACCATAACACAATAAAACACTGCAGCGTTGACGCCATTTTATTTCCAACTCGAGACGATACCCCTTTTGACCTTTGAGCGAGTCTAGCTCTCGATTAACTATCGTTCGAGTTCGTTCGTGAGAACTCGAGAAATACTGCGATTAGATTGGTCATTGTAACGTCCATTTGTTGAAGATAAATTTGTTGTGAATGAATTTATATAAAATTGACATAATTCTCTAGATATTGTAGGAACATAATCAAAGTTAGGAGGATATTATATAATTATTATGTAAGAATGTTATGTGAAAGTGATATCACTGTTACATGGAACATTGCTGTGAATTCGAGAGAAATAAGATCATATAAGTTTTTTATCTACAATTTACAGTGCATTTACCTAAATTTGAAGGAATTGAGTTATGGAAGGTCCATTATGAAACTTACGGCATATGTATGTAAATTTTACAAATATCTTGGGAAACTACAACTACACAGGAATGATATACTTAATATTATGTATAAAATATGGAGCTCAGCATGCGAACATACGCTGATAATCTTAGATGACATCAAAAGATGGGCCATTCGTCGTTTTTGATGATGCCACTCTCACTAATTCCTTGATATTATTGGATTGGAAAGTCGGCGACCTCTCATTTTTCTATATATAGATAAATCTCAGCTACACCCAGTCAGCACATCATTCCTTCGTCAACCTCGAGTAATGTCGAACATCTCTTCACCAGAACTCGTTTGTCTATATAGAACGGCAAAGCTTTGGATTCCTCGATTTTGAAAACTCAATACCTATATCTTCTCTCCACGATGGTCCTGAAAGATAATAGGGATTTTCTTTCGTGCGCTCCAAGTGATGAAAAAATGGTTCTGGTTTTACGAAACATCATTCCAATATCGATAACTGACAATTTACCAGTATATACAGGCATATTTATATCCATTTATTTGAAGGCACGGAGACGTATCGAGAGGCACGACAGATATGGTAATTCTTAGACATTATGCTTATTGAAACATTCCTGATTTGATTCATCAATCAAGTTGCATTGTATTATTATCATCTTGGAAAGTGGTCATCAGTTTCAATTATATACAATTAGATATTCATGACTCAACTAAGAATAAACTAGGTATAAGGAATTATGAAGAAACATTTTACATTTTTTTCATGATCAATATAAAATGGTTGTCGTCAAATCAATAAACAAGGCCACCCTTATCATCAATAACTATATTACTATTCCGGTGATGTACAGGGTGGTTAAGTATATATATATTTGTTGCTGTATATTTGGATCGTCCTTTATACAGGGTGAGTCATAGCCAAAATATGGCCATGGAACCAAATATGCCTTAATACGTAGATCTAGAATATTGCTGTAGAAAGAGATCCAGGGCGTTTCAATCCAAAAGGTGTTCACTATAAACTCATACCAAAATTCATTCACTGACAAGAGATGCAATTCTCCAACAACAATTATCTGACAGTCCAAAGCACACTCTTCACAATTTTTTTGAAAATTTGTTTTCCCCTTCCAAAACTCAAAACTATTT